GAAACAACGCTGGACGGAATTTTGAGTTCGGAAGGCAAAACAGAAGATGACAGAAAGCCCTGGCCGAAGACTGCAGAATCGGGGCCCGGCCTAGGGCCCACGTGAAGCATGCTGCGCATCCCTGTTCAGATCATTTGTCGTCTCAGTGGACTCTGCTTTTCAGAATCAGCACATGGACTGCTCTCACATTCGACCATGTTGATTTGGTCAGATTGCACCTTGCCTCTACACATGCCTCTTGCGACCAAAACTGATTTGAACCACAGATCGCTCCTCCTCCCGGTTCTGCCTGTTTACGGCCACCGACACCACAGGGCCTTGGATGCGAGTTCCGGGCCTAACTTGGTGAGCCCACAACTAAGGTACGAGGGATTAAACAAAAACAAGAACCCTTACCATTGAGACCCCGGCCGGCAGGCCATATGCATCGCCACTAGGTTTCGGCCAAAGCAGCAATTGGCCGCCTTGAGGAAAATGTCCGGAACTAATGTCCAAGTCGTGTTTGGAGCGCACCAAGCCCCTTCATGGGGGAAGGTCATGCAAACTCTATGCAAAAGAGTGTCAAGAACAGCTATCGGCAATACATATCCAGCTTAGAAATAAACGTGATAACATGTTCCAAAACTCTCTGAGGAGGGCACGGCAGCGGTAACTCGCACAATTCGAAATTCAACTTGCAAAACAAGCTTGCCAGCTGGATGAGGCCCACAGTGACTCAGCAGATCGCGCGCGGTGAGCCCTGCAGGAACCTTGGGAGCACGGGCAAAACAGCAAAATACAAACATTTTTCTGATGAAGTCAGAACAAGACCAGCAGGCGTGGCCGTGTGCTGGATCTGTGTGCTGGATGTTCAAAGCTGCTCGCAAGTTCTGGCAAGCCTAGACAGGGTGACTTGCGAGCGTTGCTGGGTTCTTGCAAAAATTACGAGGCCCCTGCAAAAATAACAACGCTTGACTGCCAGCTTTTGTGGACTTTTTTGACAAAGTTTCTTCCAGATTAGCGCCAAAATGTGCCAGTACCTGGCTTGAAGGATCTCAACTTGAGATCATCATTTGACCGGACTTGAATCCAACATGAAACTGTGAAAAACACAAAGAAGTGCCACTCTGTTGCTGACGAACAACCTGGACAGCCAAAAATGCGTGAGCCCACAAAAAGAAAGTTTCTGTCTTGGCCAAGCGCCAAGAGTTGGTCGGGCTTGGTGGTGGCCTTGTAGAACATTTGCTCTCTCTACAAAAATCCGTATTTGTCGGCGAAGCCTCAGAAACACCAAAATTTCCGATTTTAGGAAAAATCCTGAAATGTGCCTAAAACACCAAAACAGCCCGGAATAGCTTTGGAGATCCAGTCAATTTCCACAAAGCCCAAAATAACCAAGAAACCCAGGAAAATCGCGGAGAATCACGGAGAATCGCGGGGAATCGCGGGCAGGTCTGTAAAACCACTTAAAAGCGTTTGCGGCAGCAGTTTAAAAGACATAACACTGGGCCTTCTGTGGATTGGTTGAGGATTGAGGCAGTAGTTTAAAAAGGTCCAATGCGAGCATTATGTTTGCAAATAGGGGGGAACTGCGCCCAACCCTTCCACTTGTTTAACTTGCAGAGAGCATGTTTCAAAGGGGCTGGGCCCGCCCCCTTCGCACGAAGGGGGGCTTGAAGGGGGGCTTGAAGCCCCCCTTGAAGGGGGGCTTCGTACGAAGGGGGGCTTGAAGGGGGGCCCCTTGAAGGGGGGCTGAAGGGTCGGACCCTTGAAGGGGGCTTGAAGGGGGGGGTGAAGGGGGGAGGGGGGGGAGGCGAAGGGTCGAAGGCTTGAAGGGGGGCTTGAAGGGGGGCTTGAAGGGGGGGGCTTGAAGGGGGGCTTGAAGGGGGGCTTCAAGGGGGGCTTCAAGGGGGGCTTCAAGGGGGGCTTCAAGGGGGGCTTGAAGGGGGGCTTCAAGGGGGGCTTCAAGGGGGGCTTGAAGGGGGGGCTTCAAGGGAAGCTTCACAGGGAGGCTTCAAGGAGGGCCTGAAGGGGAGGTTTGAGACGCGAGCCTAAACGTCGCGAAGAAGGCCCAGGTGCTCGGCCTCGTAAACTGCTCCCTGCAACCCGTGCGAAGCAAGCCCAGTTATTAGGCCGCTTGAACTGCTCCCTGGAACCTCGCGAAGAAGGCCCAGTTAGTGGGCCTCTCAAACTGCTGCCGAAACGTCGCGAAGAAGGCCCAGTTATTAGGCCTCTTAAACTGCTCCCTGAAACCCCTGCGAAACAAGCCCAGTTATTAGGCCTCTTAAACTGCTCCCTGGAACCTCGCGAAGAAGGCCCAGTTATTAGGCCTCTTAAACTGCTCCCTGAAACCCCTGTGAAGCAGGCCCAGCTATTAGGCCTTTTAAACTGCTCCCTGGAACCTCGCGAAAAAGGCCCAGTTATTAGGCCTCTTAAACTGCTTCCTGAAACCTCTGCGAAGCAGGCCCAGTTATGAGGCCTCTTAAACGGCTCCCTGTACGGGTTTCCGGGAGCAGTGTAAGAGGCCTAGTACCTGGGCCTTCTTCGCGCCGTTTACGCCCGCGTCTCAAACCCCCCTTTCAAGCCCCCCTTGAAACCTCCCTTTGCAGCTTCCTCTGATCCCCCCTTGAAGCCCCCCCTTGCAGCCTCCCTAGCCTCCACTAGAAAACATGGGGTTTTCGGCTTAGCCCCTTGCCACACGCACTCGAGATGGGAGGCGTCGGGTACTCGCAGGCCGAAGCCGCTTCCCCTAGCCTCCGCTACAAGACATGGGGTTCTTGGCCGAGCCCGTGCCACAACAAGAAAACATATTCAAGCCAAAAACATGCTACTGTACGTGATTGCGTCGTAAAAAGTCTCCACTCCTCTGATTTTCGAACAATGAAAAACAAAAACAAAACAAGATTTCAGGGGGGTGGAATTTAAACTAAAATCCCTTCTCTCTTCTCCCTTGATTTTTCGAATAACGACATACCAAAAACAAAAAATCGAGGGGCGTAGAATTTTCGAATAACTTTCCCCTTCTCTCTTCTCCTCGGATTTTTTGAATAATGAAATACAAAAAACAAAAAAGATTCGGAGGTGGAATTTAGAATACGTTCCCTTCCCTACAACAAGTAAATGGGACCCCCCCGCTCTTTACTTCCAAAAAGTCTCCACTCCTCTGATTCTCGAACAATGAAAGACAAAAACAAAACATGGAATTTAAATTAAAATCCCTCTCTCTTCTCCTCTAATTTTTCGAAGAACGAAACACAAAAAACAGCGTAATTTTTGCTGGACCTTCTGTGGAGGTTGAATTTAGCAGCAGTTTAAGAGGCCCAACACTTGCTGGACCTTTCAACTGGCTGGGCTTCGGCGGAGGGTTTACGCAGCAGTTTAAGAGGCCTGATGGTTGGAGGCAGCATTGTTTTGGTCAGCGTACAGGATCGAACCCTTAAACCCCCTCTAAAGCTTGCCCTGAAGTGCAACAAAGTCCTCCGCTCTGTGGAGTTTCAGCAGCAATTTCAGAGCCGCTGGACCTTTAAGCAGCAATTTAAAGAAATTTTGAGTAGAACGACAAGAAGCAAGAAGGCATGGATTTTAGAACAATTTTTTTTTCCTTGCTTCTACGGAAGGACGGCTTGAAAGATAATTCTCGACTTCTCTGTCCTTTTCCAGGCACCGCAGGACGACAAAGAACAAGGGGGCAGGAGACTTCTTTTCTTGACTACGCAGAACGACCAAAAAGAAGGGAAGAGGAGAATGTAGGGTGGAATTTAAAACAATTTACTTCCAGGGGCTACAAGTCTCCTTGGGGGGTGAAATCTAGCGAACTATTGTTTCTCTCTTTTTCTGAACAACAACAAGCAAGGGCTTGAAGAGAGCTTGGAGCTTAGAGTTTAAGAGATCTGAAGAAGGCTTGAAGGGTCAACCAAAAATGAAACAAAAGGTTTCCCCTTAAAAGCCTTCTTAAAGCCTTCCTTGAAGCCCCCTTGAAGCCCTTCCCCTTTGAAGTCCCCTTCAAGCTTCCCTTAAAGCCCTTGAAGTCTTGAAGCCCCCCTTAAAGGTCCCCCCTTAAAGTCCCCTTTGACAAAGATCGAAGCCCCCTTCGGGCCCCCTTTAGAAGACCCTTTAAGGGGACCCTTAAAGCTTCTTTGAAGTCCCCTTGAAGCTCCCCTCAAAGACCCCTTTGCTGAAGGGGAAGGACCCATTCAGGTCTTAAAACAAAACTTCGCCTCTTCTTGGCTGCAGCGGAAAGGTTTAGGCTGAAGCTTTTCTGAAAAAAAGAGATTCCAGAAGGGCTTAAAAGGGGGGCTGCAAAGCATTCTCACCTCGTCTGGGCAAAAGCGCAGGCGGCTTGCAAAAAAAGAAACTTACACACTTGACCAGTTGTTTTTACGGTGCAAGAGTTTTTGGTTTTAGGTCTCTGCTAAAATGCGATGTTGCAAGCGTAAGTCAAAAAGTTTAAAGAACACGGTGCTGGACCTTCTTGTGGATCCAGACATGAGAAACAGCATTACATCCTTGAAGCACAAATTTTTTCCAATTTTCACAAAAATCTCTCGAGAGACAAAATTTGCAAAAATCCGATTTCTGGAACCGCTGCGATTCTCCGTGATTCCCGCAAAATGCCCCGCGAACGCTTCTAAGTGGTTTTGGAGGCCGGGCGCGGCGCGTGGAGCGGCGCGGTAACCGCTTGAGAAGTAGCGCCCCTTCGGGGCGCCGCCGCAGGCGGCGCCCCCTGAGGCGCATAGCTCGGCCAGAAACCAACGAAAACGGTCGCCGCTTGAAACGCCGCGGCAATATAGGCGCAGCGCCCGGAGAAGTGCTACCGCTTGAGGCGCCGCGCAAATAAAGGGATCCGCGTGAGGTCTCCAGAAGCAAGTATAGCAGCACCCTACAGCTTCATTGGTTGCAGAAACCCACCTCGCCAAATACCCCACGTCAACACCGAACCCCGAAACTGAACCCCGAAGCCTCCAAGCTTTAAACTCGCAAGCACACTTCGAGACATCATTTCTGCGAGATACCCGGGCGCTTCACTCGTCATCGTCGAACAACAAACTGCACTGGGATTCGCCGGCATCCAGTTCCCTATCACTGTCCGCCAACAATCCCACCCCAGCATCAGGAGCAAGCCGCTTTTTGGGCTGCTCGCACTGCTCTGCGACTTTCAAATATTCGGCTAGCGTTGACCAAGAAGCACGCCCAGGGTCGTCACGCTCCTTCTTTCGAAGTGAGCCGACGACTTGAAACATGTCGCTGCCGGACATCCAAAACTTACACTGAAAGGCACGAACGCGATGATGGAGGCCCTCCTCCAAAGCATCAGCTTGCCTTGGAGTGGGTCCAGTAGTGTTGAAGGGCTGCCGCCCCACGTCTCGGCGGAAGCTGGCAAAAAAGCCATCCAGCTTCTGCGTGCCGCCGATGCGCGTCTCAACCTCCCAATCGTCATCAATACCCTGCCACACAGGCACGTCAAACGGCTTGGTAAACTCCGGTTTTGGAGGTTTGTGCTTGACATTGGTGTGGTGTGGGCAAGCTTCAGACCCTTGAGCTCCTTCGCGTTGCAGAAGGAGCCATCGAAAAGGGGGCCATCCTCGACGCCCAGCTGCTTGTACGCACGGGCCGAATCCGTGTGGCAAACACTACCAGCGCCAAGTCGAAAAGAACCATCATCACGACGCAAGACCGATGCCAGCTCCTGCAGGGCATACGATAAAGTAGGTTTGATGTGTACCTCACATTGAATGCTCCCAAAAGAAAAATCCTTGCTAACGCATCCCTAAACTCTTCAAAGTACAGTCCTGCACACTGATGGGACCACCACCACCTTGGCCAGCTTTAGTGATGCGATACGGGAGTCGTGCAAGGAAAACTTTGGAACTTCCTCTGCGTACCATGGCGAAGTAGCGCACCCAGAGCACACAGTTGTCCAACGTTTTGGGTCGGAAACAGATCTCATCCATTTCTACATCCTGGCCTTGCCCTCCGATCAGCAACTCGTCGTTGAGCTGGTCCACCAATGGTGAAAGCCATGATCGGAATTGGTCAAACAAGCCCCGCATGACTCGGTTGTCCACTCCAAGAACCAAGCCTCCCTTATCTGGCGAAACATTCAGTGGGGAACACCAAAGCCACAAAGCACCAAAAAGGGAGCGAAGAGGGAGCTTCTGGGAGTTCTGTTTTCCAGAAGAGCAAACTGTCTCTTGTCTTTCATTTGTGAGGATTCCTGTCTCCAAACCGATCTCTGTAAGCTCAACTGGAGTGCTGGTCAGAATGCCATCCAATGAAAAGCGTGAAGACAATGGAGACCGCGTCAAAGTTGCTGTCCGACCACGCTTTTGACCAGGACTGCGATCACGTGGCTGCGTATAAGGTCGTTTGCAACCTTGAACACGTTCTTTCTCCGCCTTGTTCTGAAAATGAAGAGTCAAATCATCTGTTGAAGAAGCACCAGCACTCTGATCAACTTCACCTTCATCTCTGCCTCCTGGCTGGCGCTTTTTGGAAACTCGAGGCTCACTTTTCGCCTTGGCTTTGACAGCAGGCTTTGGACAGGGGTTCTTTGGACTCTTCTGTCGCGTCCTGCCCCATTGTCACACGCCCGCCGGACCATCTTGCTGCCATTGCAGCCATCTTCAGAAACAAGAAAAAACAACTGAAATTCAAGCCAAAATGCTGGAATCATGCGCAAGCATAGAATCCAAAAAGAGCTTATAAATGCATAACTTGATCTGGTCTGTCAAAATATGAGAAAAAAAATCTAAACTGCACTCTGTTTCCACAACATTTGACTGCAATCAAAATCTTTAATTCAATGCAAATGCCAAAAAAATGCAGCGTTTCTGTGCAGAGTCATTTCTCTCCCTCCCCCACATTGCTGACAGACAACCAAAGACCATACACGGGCTCGTACCACAAGGCACAAGCTCCGCAACCACGTGAAAAACCGAAGGTCCCTCTGGTACCTTTTCCCTTGAAAGCACGAACCCTGACCTCTCACACAAGTGCGGACAGCTCTCTCTTTTTCACAGTCAGAGCCACTTGAGTCAAAAGTCACGAAGTGCACAAACTAAACGAATTCTCTCTTGTGAGCTTAAACTCAGCTTCAGAACGAAGTTCCCACACTGCACACTCACTTTAAATAGCGTATTGGGCAAAAACACACTTATGATTTCCTTGCAAATCAACGAGGCATAAACCATCGAGGATGGGATCACACGGATTCCCAATCACTCCGAAGCAAAACAAACCTGTCCAAGCTGATCCAAAACATGACAAAAACATCACTGATCAGCTACAATCTTCCACATTTTTTGGATGCTGCGTTTCTTCAATGTTTTTTGAAAATTTTCAAAATTTAAAATTTTGATCCAACCAAAGCCGGTGGCTTAGTTGCGAAAAGTTAGTAAGGCTCATTTTTGTTTTTAGATCATTTTGTTAACAATGTTTCTAAAACAATCTACTTTACCAAGGCAACTTCGAAAACCAGTTTTCTGGTTTCAAATATTTTTCATGTTTGAAATTCAAAAATAATTTGCTTAACAGGGCATCTCCAATTTGCTCAAAGTGAAAACACAGCCAACAAGTTTTTTTGAGGTCATGTTTCTGCTGGTAGCTTTGTTCAGCCTTAGGTCTTTTCAAGATGTTAAATTTTGATCCAAAGCAGGTTGGCTTAGTTTCGCAGCAAAAGGGCATCTCCAATTTGCATCTCAAGTGTGGTGTGGCCTGCATGTGTCAAAGGAGCAATGGACTGGCTTTGACGTCTGTTTATCGGTTCAAACAGAGCACCTTTGAGCCCAAAAACCCGACCCTCAAACCTGAAAATAAACCCTGGACACTTGGCTCCGTCGCAGGTAATGGGGCCATGTAATCCATGTGGCCCCCTGATTTGATGCCAAGCAGAGAGTGCTTCGCACCCCCATTTTGCCGTCAGGCAAAAAACCCAAGTTGGAAGCAAGACGTCTTTTTTGTTAGGGCAAGGTTTGATGTTTAGCTTTTTGTTTTGTTTTTTTTGGCATTTAACGTTTTTCAAATTGAAAAATCTGTGTCTGTCCTTCACATTGGCTGAAGAGGGCGAGGGCGGAGGCCCAAACAGTCGCCCTCTTCAGCGACTCTGTGTGCCTGAAGGCAAGTTTGGGTTTGGAGCCCAGACTGCCAGTGGACCGGAATCTCTTGTACTCGGACCGTGTAAGTGAATACCGAGAAGCCTATCCTGTGAGGAGGCGGATCCGGACTCATCAGGCTTGGAAGCAGTTGGTTCAGCGGCTGTTGAGGCACTTTGGAGCCCGGACAAGGTGGTTTGTCTGGAACTGGATTGGTTGTGACCGATCTTGGAGGAATACGGTGCTTGGTAGAGTAGAACTAAGGTTCTTCAGGAGCCTGGACCATCTGGTGTTGGTGAGAGAGTTTTCGCCAGAAGACGTTGGAGAGACTGCAGGCTGGAGCCTGAGTTCAGGAACTATGTTGAATACATCCCCACGACATACCAGTGGAGCTCATGTGAGGAGTCCAAGAGGTGGACGAGAGCGTGGAAGCTCTGTGCCCATCATGGATGCTGAGACAAGGCGAAGGGTAGACCCTTTTCCGGGTTTGGGAAATCCCAACCCACTGTGGGTGCAAGGTTTGGCACAAGGAAGCCAACCTGTGTATGGCCCAGTGCCCAGAGGTCGAACTCCCGCCAGAAGCCCTCATGGGGTAGCTACTGGAGCACCCCAACAGACAATGGGAGGCCCTTCGTTTCCCCCTGGTTTGCCTCAGCAAGCGGTAGGAAGTCCTTCGTTACCACCAGGACTATCCACTGGACCTCCTCAACCTGTGGTGACACCATCACAAACATCACCCGACGTGCAAGGGTTGACGAGACAAGTGCGAGAATTGGAAAGCATGATGCAGCAACTGGTTGTGCAGCAACAGCAGTTTATGCAAACGATGACTTCGTCCATGGTGCAGCAACAGCAGCAGCATCAGCAGTGGATGATACAGCAGCATCAGCAACAGCAGCCACAGCAACAGCAACAGGTGAATCCCCCCTTACCTCAGGATGGTGTTCCTGAGAACATGCCCAGTTCTTCTTCGGGATGTCAAGGTGCATCGCCAGTGGGTACTCCTGCGAAGGGGACCCAGCTTTTTCGGATGGCGAGCCCAAGTCCCCCACTGAGACCTCCACCTCTGGAGCAAGAAAGGGAAAGGGATGTGTTTGCTCGATCGGACAAATGGTTGCCCAGTTTGCCGACCATTGACTTTTCGTCTTGGAAGGATCGCATCTCTGAAGCTCTTGGATTCTTGACCTGGATGGAGAAGCTGACCAGTTGGGTTGGTTTGGGTTCAGAAGTGTTTCCCAATGAGCTCATGCATGCGGTGAAGACTCAAGAAGAGTCTCGGCTGAAACAGGATCGACTTACTGTGGAGCAACAGAAGAGGTCGACGAGGCTGATGCACATCCTGCGACAGACTTTTGCAAATCATGAGAAGAGTTCTCTGATTTTGCAGACATATGTTGAAAGTGAGAGCACTTATCAACAATCTGGTTTTGTGGCTTTGAGATTGCTGGCGAAGGAGTTTTGCCTGAAGTCGCGAGCTGAATGCCTGTTCTTTCGGTCGCAGCTGGTGAATCAAACCGTGAAAGCACCCAGTATTCCGGAGATCATTCGAAAGATTGAGCATGAGTTGAACAAGTACACCAAGCTGCTCAATAGTCTTGATCCCGATGTGCATGCTGGTGGTTTGCAGATCCAAGAAGCGGATTCGGTTATGGTTTTGCTGCGCAGTTTGCCAGATCGGTGTAGAAGCCATTGCTTGTTGCATGGCGATAGTGAATCGTTTGAAGATCTGAAAAGAGTTGCTCTGAAGTTTGAGGTGCAACAAAGGGTGTGGTCAGAAGCCCCTGGCACGAAGCTTCAACCTTTTCGAGATCCCAATGAGGGAAAGGGCAACGAAGGAAAACCAAAAGGCAAAGGAAAGGAACAGAAAGGCAAGCGCGAATCAAGCAAAGGTGCTGGCAAACGAGCTTCAAGCCAGAACAAGAAGGATGTGGAGTGCTATGTGTGTGGTGGAAAGGGACATTATGCCCGCGATTGCTGGTATAAGGAGGGAGATTCAGGCAAGAAGCCCAATTCCCCCAATGCTAAGGCGAAAGCCAAGGCAAAAGGAGATCCCAAGAAGAAGCCCGAAAAGGGAAAGCCCAAAGGAAAAGGCAAAGGAAAGGGGAAGACAGTTGCTGAAGTCTCCCAAGAGGGTGAGTCGAGTGACTACCAGCTAACTGGAGGTGAATGGAATGAACCTGAGTCAGAGGCCCGAGTGGAATCTGTGTTGCAACCTCTGGAAGAATTGCTCGATGAAGTGAGAAAAGAGTGGATTCCCCGGAGTACTGATGAGATAGATTGGTCATGGGAAGTTGAGACGAGAGTCCGGATTGCCGAGTTGGAGCATCGGATCTCTACCGATTTATCTCAGATGTTGCCATCTAAGTCAGTTCGGTCTTTGATGAAACCTCCGATGAATCAAGTCAAAAGCATGGAAAAGGATGATGCAAGCAAATGGTGGTTGATTGACTCAGGAGCATCGGTGACTGTGATTGCGAAAAGATACTTGGATGAGTTCCAGATCTTGGATCGGAAGGCGTTGGGACCTAATGAGAGGTACTCAGCAGCCAACGATACCCCGGTGAATGTCTTCGAGCGAGTTCGCATCCGAGCCTTGCTGCCTATGTATGAAGGAAAGCAGTATCTTGGTTTGACATCGGTGTGTGTGACTGGAGTTGTAGCAGATGTGGCTCACAACATCTTGAGCACCGAGCAGATGGTGAATACTGGTTGGGAAGTGAAGTTCACTCGAAGAGAGATTTCGCTGCGACACGAGAAGAAAGGAGTCATGGGATATGGAGTATCCTGGGCTGGATGTCCTTGGATCTACCTGCAAGGTGATGCTGGAAAGCGAAAGAAAGTAACCTTTGGAAGAACTGAGGTTCGACCCATGGATGTGGATGATGGCCAACGACCGATGGAGGTTGATCAGATGCAGTCAGTGCAGTCAATGACCAAGAAAAAGCAAGAAGAAATGGAGCTGCATCGGATGCGAGGCCACATTCCTTTTTCGTCCGAATGTCCTCATTGTCGGATGACAAGAGGAACAACCCAGCATCGTCGGACCAAGGATGCTCAAGACCGACCCGTGGCGTTGCAAGCAGATTTCTGCTTCATCAACCTGGTAACTGGTACTTTTGCGAAAGACCAGCCGACGGCTCCCAACATGAAAGTACTGGTCATGACTGAAATGTCAACCAGAATGATTGGATGTCTGTTGGTAGGGACCAATGCTGACAATACCTCCAGCTGGATTCGTTATTGGATGAATGCTTTCGGACTGGACATTGCAGGGTCTGCTGTACTGTTGAGGACAGACAGCGAGACAGCGGTGAGCGCCCTCATCAAGAGAGCCAATCTGGGGATTAGGATTGTGACCCAAAGAGCACCTCCGCAGGGACATGAAGCGGTTGGTGGTGTGGAAAGGGCAGTGAGAACACTCAAGGAGTTGTTCAGCACGGTGAGGTTGGATCTACGAGCGCAGGGCTTTGACTTGAAGAGAAGTCCTCGAGCGTTTGAGTTTGGTCTGATT